TTACAATTTCATCACAAACTTAAGAGTCTCTGCGCGAGAGTTATAAATAATTTATCCCAAACTCGAGAGAACAAAAATCCAGTAATGACAAAACATAAGGTTTACCTAAATTCAGTTAGTTCCACCAAAATTATCTCCCAGGATCTTGATCTCCTTGCAGAATCCATTGTCTTGCAAAACACATCCTCAAGAGAGGTATATACAATGTATTTCTTTTTGACAACCCAAAGGGTTGGTCTAATGGTAAGGTAGAGATGTAAAAGTCCACTATGTTTCGAGTTCGAATTTTGAAGCCAACAACCAACAATTTCTTCTTTTTTTTAATAACCGGAACTACGTTTTATATTTCATATACATCACTTCTCATATCGGCTCAAATTACCCTCTCCCATGAGTTAATCTATTTTAAGACTAGAACAACCTCAGGCATCAGTTGTCATCATTAAAAAAAACGACTAAGTACATATAGAAACAGCATATGGATGTGAAATAAATGAATTAAGTTGTGACTTACAACTAGTAACTAAGGAGTAGCCGACTTTTCCCTTTTCAAATTAACAAATATGGAACCCACATTCTCATTATATTTGTCTGTCACTCACAACTACTGGCTTCTGCTGCTGCAACTGATATGGCCCTCAAAACCAGACTCTTCCCGACTTGGAAAAATACATGTGCCCAAAACTGCGAATATTTTAACTGAATATTCGAGTTGGGCATAGAGCATATATATGCAAAGTTAAATATCAACAATTATTCACATTTATGGTGGAAATAGGTGGGCGTTCGGTCTCTCAAGAATTTTAAAAATTTCGTACAATATTATTTACAAATTCGTAAAACAATGTATGCACTGACAATTATTTATAAATAAATCTCATGTGCAATATTAGATGCATATGAGTTGTGGATAGTCCTAGTTAATATATGTTAAAATATATCAATATGTGTCTTACCCTAGTGATAATTCATTCATCTAATTTTAACTCATGCAATTTGTTGATGGTTACAAAGCCTTTTATTTTATTTTATTTGAAGTAGCTGCTTATAAAGACTCAGAGATGAGTGTTTATGTGAAGATCCATCAACCGAATCATACTAAAAGTGATTATTTTATACAATATGCATTAACTAAGAATATGGTATGCTTATGTTGGCTTCCAAGTCACTATGATTTATATAAAACGGTCGATTGCTTATATGTTACGGTCGATCTGGTGATGAAAAATCACCGTGACTTGGAGAAAAATGTAGAACGTTGCTGAAAAATGGTTGGCCGCTCTCAAAAAATGGTTGACCTCTTTCGAAAAATGGTAGACCGCTTCTGACAAATGATCAACTAGTTGACACATTTATCTTCTACTTAAAGTAAGGAAATAATAGACAATAGGAGGCATGCAATACAAAATTGCTTTGTAATAATGCAACATTATGTCACATGCGGCAACCAATCTCTAAGAAGATTATTGGCCTAGAAAGAAAGAAATAGCACATGTTTTAACACTTAGAGTGAGAACATGCAAAATGAAAATGATAAGAGTTTATATTTGTATAACAATGATTTCCTACTATTCAAGTCTCTTCATAACAACAATCACATGAAAGTTGCTCGATCACAAGAAAATTATAAACTACAAATACAATCAAAAGTATAACTTAAAGGAAAGATGAAAGCATACATAGAGTAATTCAAATCAAATAAATAAACTTCCAACGCATTTTTCAAATCTTCGAAAGAACAATCATATGAGAAACTTCTCACGTATGCTCCAAGCTTTGTACTCGCTTCAACTTTTATGTCAGCAAACATATCCATTAACAGTAGATGTCTATAACTAAATACACTTTTTTCACTGGCAATGGTTCATTCTGTCGACCGTTTGCCGAAAGTGATCGACCTTTATTAGAAGTGGTGTTGACCATTTTTCAAAAGCGATCGACTTTTTTTTCCAAGTCACAATATATGCTCTAATGATGTGAAGCAGTTGATGATCATCAAATAATTGTGTTGGGAAGAACATGCAACACCAATCAACCACACAGACACATATATACATACATACAACTCATTTAGATTTGTCCCCATTATACTAAGTTGACAATATAAAAAAAAAACCCCCTATTTTTTATGTAGTTTAAGTTGAGAGCATATATACGCAGGATCTCCCAGACTGTCTAACCGACAAAATATTTAAAACCCTCAAAAGGAAACGAAAAGGAAGTCCTCAAATGCCAATAAACAAATGATACTAGTACAATATTACTCCAAAGGTATAAATTCCTTGGTTTTTTCCCCCTTAGTATGAGAATTGATGTTGAACAGAATCATGGAACCTTGTCACCCTTTGAACTTTCTCTTGTTGTTCAGGCCTCCTCATAATAATCGGCACACATGGCTGTGGGAAGTACTGGGAACCTTCTCAATGTCTTATACAAGGTGGAAATTCATGTTTACTATTTTCACTCATTTCGTTGTTGGAAGGTCTTTCCCAAGTTGTCGACCGGATTTATTCCATTGGTTCGGTTGAGCAAGTGAGTTGAGGGTTAATAGTCTATTCGTTTTAGTTCAATTTAACTCGAAAATATGAAAAAATCATTATATTGTTCATACATTTATAAATTATATCAAATCTCATCTAACATATGAGTGATAACATATAACATTACACCAAAATAACAAGTCATACTTGAATTCAACATATACTGAAAATTCACAGACATTTATATAACATCAATATTCAAATTTTCAACTTAGAATTCCAAAGATGGAGTTAGACGAAGAGGAAAACCGAAACATAGGTGCATTTCGCAAATTAAAGGGAAAAATGACACCGTGTGACATCCAATCTAGTAACCTTGTAGCAGGTCGACCCGACGGATGTGTGTGGCTCGTTTTAATCACCGGGTCAAGATCAAAATAGGTCAATGAACGAATAAACCCGTGCAGGCTGACAACCTTTGATCTTTCCCAAACGCCAACGTTTGTAACAAATTTTTCTTCAAGTCTCGATCTCGTTCCTACCGACAAAGGATCAATCGATTGATAGGACGTGTGTGAACCTTGTTCAAAATGACATGACTAGAAAAATAATTAAAAAGAAGAAGATTTACCCAGAAAAAATAAACTAGCTAAAAAATAGCCGATGCATGTGCACTGATGCACATGTCTTGCCCTAATAAAAATGTCAAATACGTAGCCAATAAACGGTCATCAAATAACTGTTAAAAGAAGAGTATTTCTCATCATCTCTCAATCTCTCTCAGTCCACTTCAATAAGCAACCATTGAGATTTAGAGGGTTCATATATGTTTTCACATTAGACACACATGACATGAGCTATGTACATGATAACGACGACGACTTCAAATTCAATCCAGAGGACCTTTCCGTGTCATAATCGTACCTCTCCAGTATTGTAGCAGTAAACATTACATGACAATCTGGTTAACTCTCCACGTCTTAAGTAAGGTGGTGACATGGAAAATGTTACAAATAACAACGAGAGTTACTAATTAACGCCCTAAAATTCAAAAACCATCGCCCTAAATTAAATTGCAATTACACGTTTGCCCCTAATCAAAATTGCCATCGCCCTACATCGGTCGTGACTCTTGCTCTGCTCCGCCCGCCGGTACTCTGCTGCTGCTGCCGACGAAGAAGAAAAGAAAGCATGCCCCGTCGGAGATGGCAAGGCTTCCTTTCTCTTTAATCATTTTTTGAGTTTCTGTCATCAATTATCATTATCCCCTCAACTTCCTAAAAGCGACAATTGGGGGAGGGGATTTTGTTTTGCTCTCTCATATTTAGATGTTGGCGAGGGCAATGGAGACCGACGCCGGAGCAGCGGTGGTTCTGTGCTAGTGATTGAGTCGAAGGTTGGCAGCCAATGGCATCGGGGTTAATGGGGTGGACAACGAAGGGGACTCCTCACTTCTATCTCGGGAATTTTCCGAAATCAAGTTGCGACTTATTAAATAGACCAAAAGAAATCCAGTGGGAATGCTGCTGCTCTCTGGTAGGCACTCAAGATTTTGCAGCACCATAGCAAAGTCCCACTTGAAAGAGGAAGCCAGCAAATCCTCCATACTGCAACATGGAAGCCTATCTAGGATCAAAGATTCCCAATAAAAGTTGTAAAAGCAAAGTAGGGACTGCTTTCTGTTGTTGACATCCAAACCAAATACAATTACCAATATCTCAACCCAGGTAACAACCCATGTGCTGAACGAAGAAAAAAATCCAGAACAAACGGGGGCCACTCCCCCTAAATTGTAAGGGTATCTTCACAGTAAGTGGCGAATCATGAATTATTTCATTACAAGTCTTCAATGCTCTACTGCTGCTGAAGTTTTTGCAGAAAGTGAGACAAAAGAAAAGGCACTCGCCAAAACTGAAAGATTCAATAGCTAGCAGACAATTCAAGCATATGAGAATGGTACTACAATGATAAGCAACTAGCACTATCTTTTTTGGACCCTACAATAGTACAAATCTGTTCCACTTACTCATGTGTAGTGTGTCCCTAAACAGTTATAAAGGCAGTAAAAGATGACTACTAACCTGATCTCGGCTACTCCGTCTGGCTCAAATCCTGCTAACAATTCCATTTACAGCCCAACTTCTGTCACAGGAAGATATTTTTGGGAGTCTGAAGAAAGCCGGAAATAACTCCGCAAAGACCTTCTCTTGGTCTGTGAGGAGACAATAATGTTCATCCTTCCTCAAAAGAGCAATAGGCTTCCTGTACTTGTACAACCGTGATAAGTGGAAAAACTGAAAACTAAATGTCGATATGCAACAGATAATTAGAATGCTATTGGATCCCTAATTATGAGGAGACTTATCGTGGATCGTCCTAAGATAAGAATGTGAATATGCGATAACCACAAAACCCATGAAGCAAGGAAAAAGATCAAAGCCTACTAGTACCAAAAGATAGTCTCCAAATTATGGAGCCAATGCAGGCTAAAGTGCAAGTTATCTTGTATGCGTCAAGGGATGAAGATAAACCAGATTGAAGTTCATATCATAGCAGCAAAGAAAAAAGAAGGGACTTCACAAGGGAGGTCCTAAGTAATCAGAATATCATGAAAATGAAGAATGAATTTACAAAAGTCACAAACATTTGGCTCCACCAACATGATACATCCAAACACAGTACAACATAAGGGAAGCTGAAGAAATAACAGTGATCTGCACTCCACATACTTGGTGCAAGAGAAAAAAGGGAAGGAGCTATAAGAGTAGTGAACAAAGCACTTATGGACATTTTTGCATTCGCACCAGAGTGAAGGACAGACTAAAGGTGGGTAGGGTATTTTCTGAATCAGAAAAACATACTAAAAGAGTTACATGGGCAAAGTAGCTGACAACCTAGCAGCACCTGTTAGCAATTAAGCTATCATGGACATATATTTATTTCTAATTCCAGAGCAGAGCAAGGAGAACACAGAAAGCAATTAAGAAAAGCAGCCTTTTGAGATTGACATCTTGTTGGCCTTGTCCATGATCTGGTGGATACATATGCGCATGGCCACCATGGAACGAATTAGTGAACCCATAAGGAAAACCACTAGCAGCACCATACATAGCAGCATCTGGAAACCCATGACCAGGTAGATTGAAGAGTGAAGGGATGAGGCCAGCAAATGCTGCAGAAAGAGTAAAACTCCCAAACCTCGCAGTCGCCATAGGTGCAAAACCTCCCATGAAACCAAACCCATGCTGAGCAAAATGATTATTCGGCTCTGGTGGAGGAGCCGTTTCGGGCCTCTGCCCAGCTGGACGGTTTGGGATATTAACACCAGGGATGGACTTTGATCTCGGGTCAGTAGATGTCTTCCCTCTACCATACAAAGGAACCAGCTTTTCCTCCTCAACTAAAGCCTTACAAACAGGACACTCCCGACACTGAGAGTGGAAATGTAGCCATTTGTAGAGACATGGCCAACAGAAGAGATGACCACACAGAGTTACGATAGGATCCTGAGCTAAGTCAAAGCAGATATTGCATTCGAAGTTGCCTGCATCTCCATTGCTGTTGTTGCTGCTGCTAGCAAACGAGGGGCTTTGGGGCGGCCTGCTGGTTGATTCCCCAAACCCACTAGCCATTTCTGGAGAAAACCGAAATCCAAGCTTCCCTATAACTCACACACAATAGCAAAATCAACACCCCAAACGGAATGGCCGTCTTATTCATGAACCCAGAAACCCCTCCATAGCTGGAACCCATTTCTTCAACAGAATCAAGTTACCCAAAATAAAAAACCCAAAACAGAAGACCACCAGGAAAAAAAATTAATGAAATTTAGATTTTCCAAGACTTAATAGATTCGGAGAAGATCAATGAAGTTAACAAATTACAATTAGGGAAATTTGTCACAAATTCAAAACAAAAAAATCATCAGATCTCCAATTAGACCATCGTAATTGCGATCTTTCGCATCTAGATCGGGGCATATAATCGAGTTTCTCGAAAATCAAATTCCTTCAATCCCGCAATCAATCCATAGAATTCAAGCTCGTATCATCAACAACCCCAAAACAAGGAATCCCAATTTGATACATTCCTTCCTAAGCACGTTGTATCCACAACCACCCCCTCCACAAAATCAGATCGAAGCGAAAATGAACAACAAGATGGAAATCGGATCGAGAAGAACTGAGATCCAAAGTCGGTAGACTGACCTTGAAAGATGAGAGATCGGGTGATGAAGGAGAAAAATCGACCGACCCACGAAATCGATCGACTCTCAATTGAAGAGTCAAAATGGAGGGCGCGAGAGAGAACTCTGAAACACGACGAATTCTTTTTTGCTCCGGACAATACTTTGACGCCCAAGCGTAACCAGAAATTTCTATTTCTGCCTTTTTTCTGGTTTCACGCCAAATTCATGTCCGACACATTTGTTCGGATCGTAGAGGTGTGTGGGTTCATGGTTAATGACGTTGGAGTACTTAAGTTGCTATGAAGTTCCTAGTTCAGTCACAACAGTTCTTAATAATCATCATGAATGGAATTATACACTTTCTGAAATTGTGTCTCACCATTTCAAATTTCTCAATTATCGAACATTCACGACGGTCTAATAACACATAAATTGCACAATTTCATATTGTCATTCTTTTGCCCAGTATATTTGTCATTCTGTTTCTTGTGGTTGTGGCAACACAAATCAAATCCGAAGAAAATGAAGCTACCTTTTTTTGAGAAAAAAATTGAAAATTTGTCAATGAAAACCTATTTAGCTGTGATTTTTTTATAAAACTGAAACTAGAACATGTAGTTCACCAGTGCAGCCTTTAGAGATAATGGGCGAGTGTCCGAACATGATCTCAAGATCACGACCGTGAACTCAAATCAACAGTCAACTTCAACAATGCAACGTTATTCAGAGAGTTCACGAGTTCACTTGAAAGTTCACGACCGTCAACTGGCTATGAACTCATCCTTCCTTGAACCTACAAATAGGTTGACTCGATTTCAAAGAAGGGGATATGTCATTGAGTTTCCAGCACACTTGAGAGAAGAGAGGTAAAGGTTTTGATATCTTTGTTACCAATTTTTCATGGTTTAGGTTATGGGCATCAAACACCAAGTATTATTTCTCTTTGAGTGATTAAAGTAGTATCAATTACTTGTTTTTTTAGTTTGAACAACCTTAATTGGTCGTTCAGATAATAATTTAGTTTGTAAAGTAGTACTAGGTTCTAAGACCTATGGGAATATGACATTGGTCATCACTTTACTACTTTGTCAATTTAGGCTATATTTGATCTAGAATGGAGTAGTTAGTAAGCAAGGAACCAAGTTTTAAAGCTATATCAAGTTTTTGACGTTGTTGTCGGAGAATTTGAAAATATTGTGAAAGAGAATTGGTTGTTAGTTTAGTAATTTTTACTTTGTTGCATTTACTTCTCATTGTCTGTGTTCGTGTTATCTTATTGTGTGCTTGATGAGTATTTTGTGAGTATTGGATGTAGTTTCGTGATGTATGAAGCATAGAGAATCCGGAAATATGATGGAAACCAACTTTGTTAGGGTTTCTATATTTATTATTATTACTAATAGGGTAATTCTTATTATGGTTAGTAGTATTTTAGTAGAATTAGGTTTATTATTAGGGTTTTCTATTTTTTCCTATAAATATGTAATATGGGTTTCATTATGAATCAAGCAAGAACAATTATTCAGAAAGTATCTCTCCCAAAACCCTAATCCTCTATCTCCTAATTTCTCGATCCCAATCCCTCTAAAGGCCTAGGCCGATTCTCTATTCTTCTCTTCTCAAATCCCTAATTCTGTTCTTGAATCCCTAATTCTCAATCTCACGACCAGACCCGATAGAACACTAATACCAGGTTCTATCATTTGGTATTAGAGCCAACATGAGCTCGTCACAGCTCTCTGATCCGGAATGGGCTCAACTCAAACGACAGCTCCAGCAATCTATCGACGCGCTCGATCGGGAGGCGCGGGAACGAGGTTGGGTGGTGGCGGCCGAGCCACCGCGTTTGGCGGCGGCGACCGAGGAAGATGAGGTTGATGGCGTCGACAACACAGCTGAACCGCGGCAGTCGTGGGAACAGGACGAGCTGACCGATGATGGTAAAATCGGAGGAGATCTTGTGAATCCTACCGCTGACAACCCAAACATAATCACCATCGTCGAGCAGCAGGAGCAGGACCGGCAGTCGGTTGGGGACGACGCGAAAGAAGGGTTGGTAGCATCAGCAACGAAGCCCAACCCGGAAGCCCGTGCCTTTCCCGACGCAGTCGTAGAAGCCCCTACTGTCGTGGATTTAGCTCATGCCGGCGTTGTCGCGTCATTGGAGAAGACGCCATTGTCAATTGACAAGGCGGTGGTGCCTACTGCAGCGATTGGAGTCGCATTCTTCTTTGAGGAAGATAAAACAAAAGGTAAGTATGGCCTGACTGAAGTCTGAAGAGGAAGAAGGAGGCCATGAGACTTCCACCACTGTTCCATTAAAAAAAAGGGGAATCGCCTCTGAAGAAGAATTGAATGAGGGAGGTTTGGAGGAAAAATCAACGCCGAGTTGCGTTGCAAATTGGCGGTTTCGGAAGAAAGGTTCAAAGTTAGACAAAGGGGAACATGGGGCTACTGTGTTGCCCGATCTCCCGTCGGCGGTCCTATCACCGATCGCAGATCACTGGTTGAAGCTGCCGGAGCCGCGAAGAGGGCAACCAGAGCCATTTGTGGCGAGGGTCGATGAAGAGATGAAATCGGGGGCTGGTGGAGCGGCTCCTGTGATAGAGACAACGAACTGGGCATCTTTCGTGGCGGCGACGAGTTGGAAGTCGGAGTTGGAGTTGATTAGTGGAAGAACGGAGTTGCAGAAAGCGACAATGAAGAACAAGACGGAGACCGAGCTGCAGAGGGTGTCGACCAGTCGACGGCGCGGAGCAGAAGCAGAGAAGATCCGCCGGGATCCTCTGACATCGTCGAACTCGCCGTCACTCATGACCGTAGAGGCTCGAGCGACCCGGAGCTCCGAGATCCTCTCGATACTAGGGTGGTGCTTCCCTTCTCACCGTTGGGAGAGCCATTCTCCGGGAAAGGAATCGTCGGAGTTGCCGTCCATGGAGCCCATCCACAGGCTGAGCTGTTCGCCGCCGACAATGAAGGCGTTGCAGGAGAAGGCAGAGAAGGAAACTGGCGGCGGCTGGTTTCCTCCACTTGCAAACCCTAAGTCACCAAGGGTGGGCTGTGTGCAGCTGAATGTGATTAGTGGGCTCAAGTCGAGCTGAATAGAGCAGTTGAGCGGGCCAAGTTGGAAGGTTGTGTGTGGGCTGGGGAAGAGCAGATCAGCTCGCAAGGAAGGATTCGTTGGGCCTAACTTAAACCAGTCAAGGTGGTCCGAGCCAAAGCCTTGGAATGGGCTGAAGCTTGAAGCAGAATGGGCCGACCAAGATTATGGTCTCGGGCCCCAAATGGGCTGGCAGTTGGGGTTGTGTTTAAATGAGATGGATTTGGAGAAAAAGAGAAGTGGGTTGGTCGGAATAAAAGATGGTCTTTCAAGAGAGCATGAGCCAAATGCAATTGGAGACACTTATGGGCTAGCTCCAAGAAATATTTTTAAGGGCCTAAATGAGTTGGTTCTTAAGGATGGGTTCTTGTACAAGGAAGCATCTTTGGAGTCCTTAAATTATTGGATAGTGAAGCCAACGAAAGAGGAGCTATTGAAGTTTGAGTTTGTCAAGGAAGCAAGGGGTGGGGCCATGGAAATGAAATTCGAAGAATTAAACCAGCACAAGAAGGCCAACGCAAGAAGCCCAAGTCCAGTAGTGGATAATGATTGGAAGAAAAGGAAGCGCAAGAAGTGGAGGATACAATGCGCGATCTACACGGGAGATAGGATGAAGAAATGGGTCGAGTCGGTCAACCTTGAGGACAAGGTTGGTTTGAAGGGGGAGGAGATGGTGGAAACCAACTTTGTTAGGGTTTCTATATTTATTATTATTACTACTAATAGGGTAATTCTTATTATGGTTAGTAGTATTTTAGTAGAGTTAGGTTTATTATTAGGGTTTTCTATCTTTTTCTATAAATATGTAATATGGGTTTCATTATGAATCAAGCAAGAACAATTATTCAGAAAGTATCTCTCCCAAAACTCTAATCCTCTATCTCCTAATTTCTCGATCTCAATCCCTCTAAAGGCTTAGGCCGATTCTCTATTCTTCTCTTCTTAAATCCTTAATTCCCAATCTCGCGACCAGACCCGATAGAACCCTAATGCCAGGTTCTATCAAAATCTCATTCTTTTTTACAACGAGATTGAAAGGACCCTATGTGGTTTGAGAAAGACAAAGGCTAGAGAAAACGTGGTATAAGACTTTCAAGTTACGTTCAAGAGAACGCAATGGTGAAACAAGAGGTTCACAATGGAAGGGTTCAAAGTGAAGAGGATCCTAGAGAATGAATAATGGGGTATTATACTTGCCTTAACATGGAGAAGATCCAATCACCAACAAGAGGAACGATTATGAACAATAACTTTGAGCTCACGACATGATTCATTTTGATGATTTAATCCTCCGGAAAATGAGGATCTTCATCCTTTCAAAAAAAATGTGGATCTTCATGGTCACCTACAAGCCTTTTTCGAGCTAACCAATGGAATCAAGCTAAATGGTGTGCCCTAAGAAGATATTGGGTAGAGACTATTCATTTTTCCTTTGATCAGAGCAACGCAACATTGGCTCAGTAATCAACAAATCTTATCCATAAAGCCTTGGAAAGACACATATGAGAAGTTTTTGGGTCGTTACTTCCCTTCCATAATCACAGCTCAAATGAGAAGCGCAAATCACATCATTTCAACAAGAGGAAGATGAGCCATTATTAGAACATTGGGGAAGATACAACTTTCTACTACTATTGTGTCCTTGTCATGGTTTGGTTTATTGTCTACAAGTGGAGAACTTTTTACAATGGTCTTACAAGGGAATTCAAACATGTTATTGATATGAGCTTAAGAGAACCAAACAAAGAGGCTTTATCCCGTGAATCTAGCCACTTCCATGTCGGCACAAATCTAGGCATTAACAAGGAAAGTGGCAAGGTCAACACCATTTTGGGATCTTCAAATGATCAAATAATGCAATGTGATTGGTGTGGGGAATTCACACAACTTAACAGAGTTTTAAGCTATGATTGAAGACTCTATCAATCACCATCAAGCAAAGTTTACAGGAAAACCAAGGTCGTGGATGAAACCATATTGACAATACATATAATCCGGGGTGGTTCTTGTCTCCATCCCCCTTGATTCAAAGAGGTCCTCCTTAGTTCCAAGATCAAACCTCACAAAGGTTTCAAGGTCAATCATCATTTAAAAACCATTTCCAAGTGCTTTTCAACCACAACAAGCAAGCTCAAAGTCATCTA